GTATGAAAAAAGTTTGTTTGGATTGAGCAAGTACTTAAGAGCTAATCTACCTACTCGAAAAAAGAATCGTTTTATGTTCATTTCCTTTAGACAGCGTTATCCCACTATTATTGAGTAGGTAGCACCATCGTTGGAGTTTTGAGTGTCAATTCGAAAGGGACGTACGGTCACTAAAGCAATGTTATGACGTCTTTAGTAATAACCCTAATGTCTTAGATCATTTATCTAGGGCAACAATATCTGAGGCAACCTTTCCGAGGCAACTTTGATCTTTGGATAAAAGAACGACCACTAAAGCATCCTATACTCAATGACCGTTTACCGAAGACAACCAAGTGGGGGTGTACCCTAGGAGTGCACATGTGCGAGTGATTCCGTTTCAGATTTATTATCTTTGCAGATTTAGGGTGATCTAATTGTTTTAAAATTAATCATACATTCTTGTCATGCATCCCTATATCATACATCTAACAGTTTATATTTTGTGATATTTAAAGTGCGGAAATTAAACTAAGTTATTACAAGGCTTCGGGTATTTACATAGCCAAAAACAAACCCTTTGAAAAATAAAGCGATAAATGGAAATAAACGTCCTAATTAAACTATTACAAACTGTAGGCAGTTACATCAATATGATAAATAACAAAAATAAGGTGCGCAAGAAAAATTAAGATCGGGAAGAAATTAGGGTTTTGACCCTTCTATCCTAATTAAAAGAGAAAATATTTTTGTTGTTTTTAATATTTTTTAATAAAAAAAATTAGGTTTTAAAAATTACATACAAAAATAATTAGTGAATTTAAATTAATTAATGAAAATAATTAAAATGGCCTATTTTTGGTTTTTTTGTTATTTTTAGGAAAAAAGAAAATAATTAAATTAGAGATAAAACCTATTTGTTCTAATTAATTTTAATTATGTACAAAAAGAATTAAAATTATCTAAAATTAATAACCTAATTAAATTAATTTAATTCTTTAATAAAAATAAAATCTAGACCTAATTTATGAAAAGTAATATTTTTGTGATTTTTTGATAAAAAAAGAAAATAGTTGATTGGTTAGTAAATAAATAAATATAAATTAAATAAAATAAAACAAATATAAAAAAGAAAATAGAAAGAGAGAATGGGCCTGAAAAGTAGCTTGAGGGGGGTGTAAAAAACAATTTTCTGGGCCCAGAACAAAGAGGTCCACGTTGACCCTCGGGATTCCATGCCATGCGTTGACCCTGGTCTATTGTACTCCTCCAGTGATGACCTTTAGATTTGGCCATCTGGCCATCTGGCAGGCTGGATGGTGAGGACACATGATGGTCCTTAGGCTTGCAAGCACGCTGGATTACCTGAAAAGAAAAAATATGAAAGGAATGGGGGACCTGGGATTCGAACCCAGGTCCTGAAGCATTTTGCATGCACTCTACTACCACTGCGCCATTTGCTCTTTGTTGTACATAAGATAAGAAATAATAATAATATACAAAACAAAGATTTAATGGAAAAAGAAAAAAAATGCGTCAGAAGTTTGAATAGGCCAATGGATAGATGACACACTGGTCTTCCCTGACCTCATTCCGTTGGTAAAAGTGGAAAACTTTTACCTACAAACTTATGTCCGTTGTTATATCCCTGTCATTCCTCAAAATCAAGCATGGGTAAGATAAATCAAAACTAAAGCCATGAATAGCTTCGCCTAGACCTGCTGAGTTTAATGATGGCCCTTTCATGGCCTAATTTTGTCTATATGATGAAATCCCAAATCGAGCTATGAAAACCTAACAATGGCATATTCCAATACAGGCCATGAAAATGCAATCAAATAGTACAAAAAGCATGCAAATGTGTTAAGGAGTAAAAATGTATAATTATTTCATGCTATAAGGGCCAAAATCACATGATTCGATTTCAAGAAATAACCAAGACCGTGGATGACTTACAGCGTATTATAAGGCCTAGAAACGCTTGTTGATGACCTCAGGAAACGATTGAGATGGTTCAAGGATCTTGAAATTGCCTCTAAGTGGGAATTCGTGTTTGCACTTTTTCTTGATTTTTCAAGTTTGTGTTCTTGATCACACGCCTCCTTCTCACCTTGTTTTTGATCTGCCTTCGTTCTATATGTATCAAGGAATGGATTAGGGTTGATAGAATGTACTCAATCTTCTTCCATTATTGAATTTGATTGTGATTTGATTCTATTGAATATTATTCCAAAATTGGCCTAAAATCAATCTTTTTGTCCACCCAAATGCCTTGCACGATTTCAAATATTTGCCAACTGTATTTGTGACCTAAAACAAACATAAAATCTTGAGTTTTCAATGCTTTAGATTTTCTCATGATTTATTTTGATTAAAATTAATTTAAATTAAATAAAAATAAAAATAAATAATAAAAACATGATACTGACAAGTGGCAAGGGCTAGAGCTCGTGGACTATGTTGCCAACTCAAAACAAGTGAAAAAGATTGGACACATTTGGCAAAAATTGAAGTTTTAGGCATAGTTGACTTTTGGCAATTTTGCAAAAAAGGTCAACTTCACCAATGTATAACTTCCTCAATTTTGACTCTTTAAAGGTGTTCTTGGACTTTTTAGAAATCTTGAGATGTCCTCTAACCAACCATTTTGGTCTCATCTCAATTTGATATTCCATGCTCAAGTATGAAGCTTTGACAAAAAAGGTCTTTTTGTTGACTTTTCAAAATGACCTATAATGTTCAAATTCATAACTTCTTGTGAGTGCATATTTTGAACTTGGGAGATAAATATGGATTGTATGGAATTGAATCCTCTTTAAAATGAGATTTATATGGGTCATTTCTCATAAAGTATGAGAACGTTAGGCTTGGTCAAAGTTGAGTTGACTTTTCCTGTAAAACCCTAATTTATCAACTTTTGATTCTTGTGGAATTATGAGCAATCCTTGATGAATCATGATCAACCCTTGATCAAATGATGAAATATACTTCAAAATGAGGATTTTGACCAAAAATCTTGAAGTTTGACTGTGTGTGGGCCATAGTTGACTTTTGCCCTAACACAATCGATTTTCAGGCCTTTGAGCAATTGACTGAGCAAATTTCCTCTGTAGGGCTTGAAACTTGACATGGATGTTCTTGAAAATATATTGGGACAATGTTGAGTAGTTGGGGTCCCTTGGACTCAAGTATCTTGATGCAACATGAAACCCTAATTTAAGGTAGACTGCCTTAGGAGAGAGCTTGTCTGGCCAACCCTTGGACTATCCTGAGCAACTTGAGTATCTTTCCTGAAATGTTTTGAGAAATATGTGAGGGCAAATTTTGGGGTACAACACGGTGGTTTCCGGAAAGACGGTTTTTCTCAAAAGTTCTTTGATGTGCAACTTCATAAAGTCATTATCTCTAGAAAATCTATCCATTATCACTTCTAACTCGGTTGTGATGTACGTGTAGCTTAATGTCATACACATGATTATGCATACCAGACATGACATTATACCACCATAAATCATCCATCATACAATAACTGCGCAATTTAAATGGACACTCACATTTCCTCAATCCCGCATTATCATGTTTTGTCTTCTGAATTTTTAGAACATATTTCCCACTTCGCTCGCATATCATCACAACAAATGGTTGCCTTTTACTAGTCCCATTGTCGGACCTTTCAATTACAATGCCGAACTCAAGTTTGCTAGCTTCCATTCAAATCCATTCAATCATATTTTGACGAGTAGTGAAACTTTTATCGATTTGAAATTGTTGTGCATAATTGATCGCAACATCCTTCGTTTTATCCACGACCTTCACCTCAATCGGCTTATCATCTTCATTGACCTTGTCCGGAACCTTTACAAGAGCTTTGACAATATTATCGGGGTGCACCATACCTAACATGTTAAAAAAGCACGAATTCTATTAAAACATAATTCTGGTTTTGAAATAAACATTTTTACGGATATGCACTTCCGAATTATGGTAGGTTGAATTCAGAAGTGCATATCCGAAGCGACGCTGTTTTCATCTTCAAGAAATCAACTTCAATGTAGGAAAATGTAATGAAATAACATAAGTTTACCTCAAATCGGCTTACCTCAAACACTTGAAACTTGATTTGCAGACGAAAAATCCATTGAAAATGATTGAAAGTTGGTTTATAAGGGTTTTGTTTATGGAGGAAGGGAAAATGAATTAAATAGTTGGAATAGGTAACCATGCAACATTCTGATATGGAAATGGTAGTTTCGGAGATGCACATCCGAAATAACCTATTAGCATGTTTCATATGTGCATCTCATAAACTAGCTCAAAAAGTTCAAATTCAATGTTTATGTTATAAAACATGGAAAAAATGATGTCTTCAGAGATGCACTTCCGAAACATGGCGTTCGAAAGTACATCTCCGAAAGATATTTTCGGGTTTTCAAAGGTGATTTTTACCACTAATAGGTATAAAAAGAAAATCTCTAACAAACTATCTGAAGTGTCTAATAAAATTTAATTTTAAAAGAGGAAATTGTTTCGAATAAATTTTAAACAAAGTTGATTTATATTTATATACTTTTTAGAAAAATTATAAAAAACAACGTCGTTTTATCCAAAAAAAAAGAAAATATTTAAATCGTTGATTTTTTAAAATCGTTAATTTTCTAATTTTACTGATTTTGATCCATTTTGATCGATTTTCAGTAATTAAATTAATTATCCAATCTAACAATTAAATCTGATCGATAATCCTCTATTTTCTGATTCAATGGATTGATTCAATGCAGTTTTTAAAAGAATGCTTGTCATATAATTAAACTTTTTAGTTTTCATTTCTTTTTGCTTTTCCTTTTTATTTTTGTGAAATACTTTTCATTTTTCTATAAACAAGCCAATATATTTTATTATTTTTTAGTCTGTAGTATGTATTATTCATTTTTCTGTTTCATTTTGTCTTCTTCTCTCTCTTCACGATTAAAACCCTAATTTGTCCTACGCTCGCTTTTCCTCGAAGTTCCGAACTCATTTCGATGGCGACGGAAGGGAATGAAAATCCCTACGAAGGCGGAACCGGCGGCAAGTTCCGTAAACGACCCCTCCGCCGGACTCAAACCCCGTACGACCGTCCCCCGACCGCCCTCAGAAACCCTAACAGGAACAACAACGGCTGGCTTTCGAAGCTGGTTGATCCCGCCCACAGACTCATCACTCATGGCGCACACTCTCTCTTTTCGTCTCTTCTCCGAAGGCGTCTTCCCCCTCCTCCTCCCACTCCCATTTCATCAGGTTTCCTCTTTTCCTTTTTTTTGTTTGAATTATTATGCTGTTTGTTACCGTTTCAATATTGTTCGGCTGCTTCTAATTGGTTGCTTTGTTTGAGTTATTCCTTCTAGATTGAAAATTTGTATTTGGTTCAGGTAGAATTTTTTTTTTAATTGTAATTGACATTGACATTTTAGGGTTTATGAAGAGGTAATTGTTTAGTTCATGCTACAGTTATTAGCATTTTCTTTCTTTATTTATTTATTTATTAATTAATTACGAATTATTTATTCCTAAATGCTGTTGAGAATGTTAAGTTTAACATGGTAGTTTGATTGTCATCGGCATCATCATCACAATGCTTTCTAATGTAATTCAAATTGTGTCCCAATTGTTATTTCCGGTGTTAAACTTTTCAATACTAATTGTTTAATTATCTGTTGATGTTCCTGTCTTTAGGAAAGTAGTATGATATAGTAGATGCTGTCATCAATCTTGGATAATTTTGGGTATAGGCCAACCTGACAAATGCTATAGTGGGATGACCTAGTTCAATGTCAAAAACTCTCTAGCGGCATGGTCACTATTCTTAAATAATTTATGCAGTTTATAAGATGCATATTATGCATATAAACACTAATATAGTGATAAAACTACTCAAAGTTCACCGAACATACATATTTATTCATTAAAAGTCATAGTGTTTTAAATAAGACTTAAATCCCAATAGTATCTTAAAAAATCATGAAGATTCATAAGTTAGATGTTCTGGTGTGTTTTAAGGCTGAAATCCATGAAGTGCCTTGACAAAAAACACCAGCGTATAGTTTGATGGACTATTTTTGTGTTTCAGAAGCACTCACGGGGGCAATGTGATAGCAATGCCTTCTAATTCTTTTGCAAAAGCAGTCACGATACCTGCTGCTCTGAAATTCGATGCAGGGGAGGGTGCTGTAACGGTCACCCTTCGCTCTGCTTTGCTCTCATCCAATTATGTTACATAAGCTGTTGGACTGGAAGTGCTACAGTATACTGTGTCAACCAAAATAATAGTTTTCCTCAAAATTTTTGTCCGCAACAAGACTGTCGGTGTGCAAATTTTTGTTTTCTAGGTTGGTATTAGGACAAATTCTTAATAAAAAAAATAAGGAACGGGTTAAAGTTCATTTTTTTATTCCTTAAAAGTGTTTCTTCGTTGAATTTTTTTCATGGGGGCTTATGGTGGAAGCAGAGAGACTGAGCTGTCAGATTGCAGTCTTTTATGTGTGTTGGTCATAATGAGTATTCAGGTGTACAGGGGCAAGGGCACAAGTGCAACTTGACTACTCTTCTAATCTTTATTGATGTAGTGAATGCTCTCTTGTGTCTTACCTGTGGATGTAGGCCTATAGTTTACTGTAGGTTTAAACATCCCAAATACCATGTTTATCTATTATTCTAACCATTATATATATTTCCTTGTTTACCTCAAGTAACTTGTTGGTTGTAACTTTTCTATGGTTTACCCATTTTCCCCACTTTTCATGTCATTTATTGTTCTTCTCTTCTACGGCAGTAATCACACGGCTCCATGATTTCTTTGTTATCATACACTTCACTAATATGTGGTTTTTTTGTGATACAGAGATGGAACAAGAAATGAGGCAGGACAGTCTTCAAGAAGAAGCTGTATGTATGCTTGCTCTCTATTGTTGTAACACCATCCTCATATCTTGAGGATTGTTTTTTGGGGTGTGATGTGTGTGCATTTGATTTAATAGGAAATTATGCTATTTTCGTTTTTATATTTCACCATGTATGGTAATCTCATATTCATTTACAGGTTCTTGATATTTTGTATAATTACCACACTATATTTAAATGAAAAAAAAAGATGACAAATTCACGCTTTTACTTATTTTTTACATTTCCTCTTCCCATCTGTATATGTTTAGTTGTGGTCGGAGTTGATAATTTTAAGGGTTACAATGCATCGTGTTGAGAGTCCTGTATTGACTTTAGATATAGTTATGGCTTAAGTAGTGCTCATAAGGCTTCGACAATCCTCACATTAAAAGCCGGTTTTGTGTGGTTGTGATAAGATAAGAGTTACCACCAAAATTTAAGATGATATTAGAATCTATTCTAATTCCGTTGGGCCAATTGGGTAAAGCTCTTCTAGATGTCAAGTTCTGAGCGTGCAGGGTGTGTTGAGAGTTCTAAATTGGATAGTTATATGACCCAAATACTGCTTTTAAGTGGTGGGAACCCCATACTTTACAAGTCATCTTTGTGTGGATTAGTTAGTCAGGTTCAACCTGTGGGTTATGGGCCCACCATCTATTAGCATATTCATGCTGCATTGCAGAGTTGGCTTAATTTGGATTCTTGATGGATTGGAGCTCTCTGTAAGGGTTAATGTAGAAATCTGGTTAATATTGATTAGAGCTTTTATTGCTATTTTTTAGCTTAATCCTTCCCTACTTTTTATCCACAGGTGTTGGTGTGGCTGTGATTATACTATTATGTAACCTACATTCTAGATGTAAAAGATCCCTCAATTATATTTGTTAGTTTCTATTTGTCTATTTGCGTGTTTCATTTACCTGCTTGCAGTGCTTGTGAAATCAATATTTCTATTGGATATTATATTGGTTATGACACATTGGGGCTGCAATATTCCCTATTGATTGGTGTAACAATGTTATTATTGATACCTCACTGTTTATTCTTTTCCTATATCAGAGACAGGTTGCAAAAGAATCTCCTAGCAATCAACAAGGAGCAGTTGGTGAAAGTAATGTTCAAATTAATTGTTCTGACTCAGATCAAAGTGGATTAACGGAACTTGAGAAACTGTTAAAGCAGAAGACTTTCACCAGGCATGTTTTGTTTCCTGTGGATGAGGAATCATTGTTGTTGGTTTTTAGTTGTTAACATAATTCTCTTGAGCATTTGATAATTTTATTTACACAGAAGGCTTAACATAACTTCTTATTCAAAAAATGAATATGCATATGAACTATGAAACATTGTAATGGTGTTTTATAGTGAAATGTTTATGTCAGTTGTTTTTATAGCATTCTTTGGCATGTTTATGAACTTTTTCTCATACATTGCTATGTTTTGAGCATCTTTCTATTTTGCATCCTGACATTTACTGTAGTTTTTGAATTTCTTATTGAGATGTGTTCTATTTGCTTACCATTTGAGTCTCCGATTTTTCCCTTCAAATCTTTTTTATATTTTTAGTTGCTTTCCGTAATTTGTGTTTCATGTATAAATTCATGAGGTTCATTCTGCTATGCGTATGATAATGCCTCTTCCTGACATTTATACCAATTGCATTTCATTTTGAATTCTTTGATTATAGTATACCTTTTGCAATGTTTTTTTGGTTGATTCTTGATGTGTTTTCGGTCTATCCAACAGGTCTGAGATTGATCATTTGACAGCCCTTATGCAGTCAAGGACTGTAGATGCACCTATTAGGGGAGAAGAGAAGAGTCCAGAAGCGATTCCCTCAGAACCCATGTTACCTTCTGGACAAAAGGAAGAATATCCCAAAACACCCAGTGTAGAAAATGGGATTGAAAACAGTCTTGTATTATCTCGACATGTCACTCCGAGTGTATGTGAACTTGCCTTACTATTTTATGCTTGAATACATATTTTTCTCGAATATACATTTTTTTTGAATATATTTTTTGCTTAAAGTTATAAAAACATCTCATCATACAATATCTGGATATTATATTGGAGTATCTAATGTTATCTCATATGAATAGTTTTCTTTTTAGGAATAGTTTAGTGTATTTTATATTATCTCTTTAGATTAGTTTCCATATTTCTCTGTTACTATCATGGCTTATTTTCCTATGTAGTTGGGTGTTGGAGCACTGTAAAGGGCTAAGTGCTTATTATTTTTTGTAACAAATCATAACTATCAATTACTATTCATAATTCAAAATCTTTATTCTTTTTCTCCTCATTATTTTAATCCCTATTCTATATTTTTATAGTAATTTGTGCATTTGAAATTACTGATTTCTCCACTCTGAGCCATCTCACATGGATTGCTGCTTGGTATTGTCCATAGGTTCCTATTGAGGATGTTGCTTCACCTGCAGAGCTTGCAAAAGCTTACATGGGGAACCGGCATTCCAATGTATCCTCAGCAACGCTGGGTATGCGATATCATGCTCGCGAGGAAGATTCAACTCTTCTAAAAAGTGAAAATTTTCCATATAAGTCGCCTATTATGTCGATTGTGCCAAGGGCTACTAGACATACTGCAGCTCATGAAAATGGTTTTGTGACTCCAAGATCTCGTGGCAGATCTGCAATATATGGTATGGCACGTACGCCGTATGCCAGAATTTATCCAACCTCTACTCTCAAGGTTTGCCTTTTCCTGACTGATTTTATATCATAATGTTTATGAGGTCAAATTCCTGATTCGGTTGATCTAATTCTACACAGGGTGGTGGGCGTGCTGTTCAAGATGAGCCTTCATCTTCAACTCTGTCTGCAATAGATCATGGCATGCTTTCGGGATCTACACAAGGGGTATAAGTACTTTTAGTTTTAAGTCATGTCTTCCTGTGTATATTACAGGTATTTAATTTGATTATGTGGCGTGTTCTCCTAATTTTTGCAGGGGATAAAGAATCGAAATTTAGCAGTGGATAATAATATAGGATCTATTGGTCCTATACGCCGGGTTCGTCATAAGTCTAATCTTCTTTATTCTAAAGGCTCCAGCTCACCTCTATCTGGCAGTGCTTTATCTGTCTATAGAAACGGATTGGGCATTGATGCTGCTCAGCAACCCTCATCTTCCTCGCGCAAGCCTGTTATGCTAGATGAAGTTAAGCACAAGTCTGAAGAAAATGTTAACGGAACTAAACCCAGTACAAGCTTTCCCCCCTTTTCTTCAAAATCCAGTGAAATGGCTACAAAAATATTGCAGCAACTTGATAAGTTAGTTTCCCCCAAAGAAAAATCACCCGAATCAAGGCTACCAGTTGTACAAGGTAATAAATTGGATGGCACATTTGGAAATTTGTCTCCCAGTTTCCAGAATCAGAAGTCAATTTCACCTAGAGATAAGGGTGAAAATGGTCCATTGAAGCTTGTTGCTCCTTCCAATGAAGTCGTTCCTGCTGTAACCACTACAGATACCACAAAGCCAAGGAATCAAGTCTTGTCTAGTGAAAATTCTTTGATGATGAAATCAATTTCTTACCCTACTCAAAAGAAGAGGGCATTCCACATGAGTGCACATGAGGTATGAGATTTTGTGTGATCTCAATTTAAGTAATTTTTTTTAAATCTTCAGTTTGCAGTTTCACAAGCTGTTCTAAATTATTGTAGTGAGAATAAATGGTAATAATTATTGCTAACCATCCAGGTTTGTTGCTTATGGACATTGGTTTTTTCCTTCGATTTTACTCATAAATAGTTAGGTTAGATGTAATGCAATTGACTTTTTCTTTCTTAGGTCTTTATTTGGTGGTATGTGTTTTTATCTTATTTGATATTACGGCTCCACCTTAGATCATGATTATTCTCTTTTCATTTTGTCTCTTCTATTAAAGAATTCTCTGGACCTGGATGATAATGCTTATGGAGCCGTCTCTTTTTCTCCTGCGGAGAAAGAATCAAGAAGCTCCATGGCTATGGTAGATAAAATTTCTCCTGGTTCTGATGTCATTGCACATGAAAGTCCTTCAACGTTGTCAAAGGTATTGCCATCCACAAGTTTTACTAAAGTTGGTGAAGGGCCTAAGGCTGACGAGAAGTTTGAGGTGCCACCTATCTCTGATCCAAACAATAATGCGGCTACAGTTGCAACTACAGCAGTTACAGTAACAACTTTTGGTTCTGAAAAGACTGCTTTACCAAATGGGTCAACTTCTAATCCTTCTTTGTTTAATTTTGCAAATAAGATTATTTCCCCAACAGAGATATCAACTTCTGTTACTTCATCAAAAGAGACAGGCAAATCTGCTCCGGTATTTGGTTTGGAGAAGGTTGTTCCCTCAAAGGAGGGTGGTCCTGATGCTCCACCCGTGAACTTTGACACCAATCAAAATGTTTTCAAAGTTCCCCCAATGCCGTTTACTACTTCATCCTTAGTTGGTGGTGAATCTTCTCTGAAATTTGGTGCTTCTTTTAACTCTCAGTCGGGAGGCTCAATCAGGTTAGTTTATGTTACTTTATTGTGCTTTTGAAAACCTCTCTGAACACAATTCTCTTACATCTAGACTGTTTTTGTGGGGGTTTGTGTCTGTTCTGGCCATTTGTTTTTTATTTTGATGGAGTTTGCTTGGTATTTGGTGAAGATATTTATGCCCATTTTACTGAGATGATAGTTGGGGAATTTATTGTTACTCTGTCTATTTAGAAAATAATGTCTTGAGTGATTTTGGTGGTGTGTATATCTTTCCTTTCATTTGAAACCTTTTACATTTCCATTTCATATGTTTAGCTACCCATACTTTTTATCTGGTTTGAATTTAGATTAGTCTTATACTGGGGCATATATTCATCAAACTTTGTATATCAATTACTACTGTTAATTTTTGCAATTATTCATGTACTAAAAGTGCTTGCTTCGTCTGCAGCTTCACTACTGTTGCCGGTTCGACTGATTCTGTGCAAAAAGTCTTTGAATCTGATGGTGGTGATGCTAAGACTAATACAAATACTGGATTTTCTGTTGGGGCATCAGAACTAACGGTTTCATCTGCAGCATCGGCATCATTGTCAACACCACCAAACAGTATATTCAAATTTGGCCATAGTTCAAATCAAAATAATGGGTCCCTTGCTTCAGGCCCTTCATTCTCTTCTTCCTTCCCATCTCTCATATCAAATAACTTTAGCAACAGTTCCTATCAAAATACCGGATCCCTTGCTTCAGGCCCTTCATTCTCTTCGTCCTTTCCGTCTCTTGTATCAAATAACTTTAGCAACAGTAGCTCATCCCTTTCAGCAGTCGGTGGCATTAATGCTACTGCTGCTTCCTCTGGAGTTAGCATGGCAACTTCCTCCACCCCAGTGATGGCAACTTCATCTTCAACAACTTCCTTTTTCAAATTTGGTTCCTCTCCTGTCACATCATCAGGTTTATCTGTATCATCTTCTGTCTCAAAACCACCGGAAACTAAGAGCCAGCAAGATGCAGGAATTGGTAATTTTAGCAGTACTGCATTTGGTAGTTCATCTGCTGCAGGTGGAAGCACAGGGAGTACCATTTTCGGGTTCAGCTCTTCAGCAATAACAACTGAAAAGAGCCAGTCTCAGTCTCCTTTTGGTGCTGGTAGTGGTTCTATGTTTGGGGCTCATGCTTCTCCTTCTGCTGGTGGATTTGCGACTTCTAATCAGACCCAGTCAGTTCAATCACCTGCATCACCATTGTTTGGTTTGACTGGTAAAACCGATTTTTCTTCGGGGAGTTCTTTTTTTCCTTCTTTGAGTTCTGCCCCAAATGTTTCTTTTTCTTCTGGGAGTTCGATGTTTCCTTCAAGTTCTACAACAAATATTTTCAACTCGAGTACAACTTTTGGACTGGGCACATCTGCTTCCTCTTCGGCAGTCAACACTATTAGCTCTAATAGTGGTACAAACTCTACCTTATTTGGGGCTTCTAGTTGGCAGCCCAGCAAGTCTCCGTTTGGTTCAACATTTAGTTCATCACCTTCGTCCGGGTTTTCCTTTGGAACGCCCAGTGCGTCTGTTGCTTCCACCACCAGTTCTCCCACAATGTTTGCATCAACCACCGGTGCATCAGCTCCTCAGTTCTCATTCACTTCCGCTACTGCCTCGACCTCCTCACAACCCGCTTTTGGCAGCCCTAACCCTGCCTTTGCTTTTGGTTCAGCTCCAGTTAATAATGATAGTATGGACAGTATGGCTGAGGACAGTGTTCAAGCGATTAGCCCTATGTTTTATCAACAACCTGCTCCAGTTCAATCAAATTTTGTATTTGGAGCATCCACTCTTTCAGGAGCCAGTCCTTTCCAGTTTGCTAGTCAACAGAACGTTGCTCCACAGAACTCTTCTCCATTTCAGGCTACTGGCAGTCTGGAATTTAATGCAGGAGGAGGAAGTTTTTCATTGGGCTCAGGTGGTGGTGACAAGTCTGGTCGAAAAATTATTAAAGTTAAACATAGAAACCGTAAGAAGTAAAAGACCATTGTTTATGACAATCATGGCTTTCTTACCTGCTTCAGGCTGCACTACAGTAGCGCAAAAAATAAATAAGCTCTGAAAAGCGAACGCAGGATAATGCCTGCTCATTCGGGGATGTTGACAAGTGGTGCTATTGCTAATCTATTGCTAGTCAGCATATTGAAATTTGTTGGTCAATTTTCACCTTTGATAAGCAAGGTATAAATTTTCCCAATTTTGTTATTGTATGATATGATAGAACATAAGTGCTGTACGTGTAGTGATTGTAGGTCACGATACTGAAAGATCTTTGTATTCTCCTCACTTGTAACATTAGCAGAATTAGGGATGAATTTATAGCTTACCTGGTTGTAACTTTCACTTCCAGTGAGCAACTTGTTTAATATTTTCTGCATTCTATCTTTTGTATAATGAATTTTTGTTTACAGACCAACAAATTGTTCTTGTTCTTCTAAAGCTAAGGAAGCAAATAACTCACAAAGATTGAGTCCGCGCCATTTTTTTATGAGGATTTGTATTTGAGATTAGAAGACAAACACGCAGTATAAAGTACTCATAAAATTATTTAACATTGAACCAATTGCAATTTGCCAACTCATTTGATAATTGACTAACTACTTATACACTAAGAATTTAGTTTTTAATCTATTTGATTTTAATGTACTTTTGCTTAAAAAAATCCAATTGTACCATCTCCTTTAAATAGTCTTTTTAAACTAATTAATTAATTGATAAGTCAGCTATTCATATTTATGGTGGAAGAGTGCTATATGTCACTAGAAGAGTGAGACAAAATTGAGGGTTGGATTGGTAGTGTGGAGGAATTATGGCGGAAGAGTTGAGATCTTTTCTTTTGCTTAGCCACAAAATTTATGGATGATTGTATTTTCGCTATTATTTTTAATTTTTGGAAGTGGTTCGGCACTGTTAATGCTTCTTCGGTTTTTTTCTAATTTTCATTTTCGAAACACCAAACCTCTAAATTGTATCGAGGAGGTAAGGTGATCTGTTGCCTCTGATTTAGAGTATCTCTTGTAACCATTTTTGAGACAAATATATGAATTACTATTTATTGAAGTTGAAGTGATATTTTGAACATTCCAATCGATCTTGAGGAATCTTAGTGAGCCTACTCAAACATGATTTTATGTGATCACTTAAAGAAGTTGAAATTATTGAATTTGTCATCATTGAAATCAATAAGGGATTTTGTTTGTGTTTTTTCTTATAATACTTTTTAACTATTTATCATTATATTTCCCTCTCAACAACAAATACATAGTAATGTTAACAACAATCACGATTTGTGTCTAATGGTAAATGAGCTCTCGTTAAAGATGCAATCTGGGAAATATTGAAGATTTTTAAGTGAGAATAATGCTTGTGTATCCATATCTCTCGCCATAAACTCTAAATTACTAGGGTTCAATTTCTTTGGAATACTAGAATCCTATTCCTCTGAGAACTAAAGTGTGAGGGAAAAAATGAGACAAAATTCTATTTAAAAATGACAAAATTATATTTGAAGATAATTTAATACTGCTATACATTTATTAATAAATTCAAAACTGTGAAACATGGTGATGAGCGAAGGTAAAATTCAAATATAAATTTTTTGCATCGAAGTGTAAAAGAAATTTTTCGGGTTTTGTAATGATGAGAGAATGGGGAGAAAGACAATGGAAGAAGATAATTTTATTGTTCAACTATTAATAAATTTAATTAATAATAAATGTAATAAAATTAAGATTATAAATATATAAACTGTTTTATATCTGGTGTGTCAAATAAAATTTTAAAGTAAGTATGTAATTGTTTACACGTCTTAGGTGGACATGTCAAGTATACATATTGAGAATTTTTTATTGCATTTAATATTTTTATATTGTATCACGCGAAATTTTAAAAATGCTTTTGAAACTAAAAATATATTTTTAATTTACATTTCAAACACATAATTCAATTGTTTTGAAATTCACCCCATTTTAAAATAAAATAAAAACCAAAAATACATTTTGAGTATAAACCAAAAATACATAATTCCTAATTGAGAAAAAGTCTATAACAAATAGATTCTAAATAGTGAAGTTTAGTAACTACACCAGAATGAATGCTACTATGCTAGCATTGCAAGCTCAAACACAAATGAACAGTGATCTTATGCTATTCTTCATAAAATATGCCACCTTACCTTATTTAGGCTTGATGAATTTCTCTCATTTTTTCATTTACTTGAAATTTAACTACACACTTGTCTCTTCATAATTAAATTAATTTAAATTAAATATAGTTTAAATTAGTCATATTAAAATATAAATTGATCATATTTAATATATTTAATTAAATATAATATCTTTATTTGTCATATTTTTCCTTCTATCTTCTGCATAAAATTTGTTTTGAAAATCTATTATTTTTTTACGCTTTCTAAAAAATTAAATTACAATTTATATTTCTCTCGTGGTTGAAATAGTTTGTTCAACAAGTGATATCAAAGACTAACTTTTATATATAAATTAATCATCTCATGAAATAAGATCACTTCAAATAATTTCTTAAACAAATCTCCCTTTCAATGGTGAATGATATGCATACCCAAAAAAATAAAAATCTTTATAGAATAGATGAATTGTGATATTCTGAATGCTATTAAAATGGTACTTTTGTCCCTTTCTATCAAATAAATAATATAGAGGTACACAAACTAGAAATTATTCTGGACTGGGCCTCGACAGGCCCAAAAGCATTGCTAAGGCCCAACCCAAATGGACTTGCTGAGGACCACGCCGACCAAAGGGTCACAGTCGTGCCCGACGTGCTCCCTGAGGTCACGTGCTCGACCTCTACACCTCCAGCTCAACATCCTGCTGTCCAGCTCGACACCACCTCGAGCACCTCAACTAGGGCAGACTCAGTCCACTGCGCTCCCAACGAGACCCCGAAAAGACCGCGTCTCCGTCCGCCCGCACTTCACGCAGAACATCCAGGAAGGGGACCACGTGCGGGTCCCTACTACGCACGTAGAACCTGACAGTTCCTCTATTGGGTCAAACCTGCCCGGCCCAATGAAGGAACCTTGGCCCAGCGCTGGGGGCTATAAATACCCTCTGTTTCCAGAGGGTCAGGTATTCATCATTCTACCCATACACTTAATTATTGCCTGCTCGTGCTTCTACTTACTTCAGCATCAGAGTGCCTTGCAGGTACCCCCCCCACCTCGTTCAAAAAGCTTTCAGCTCGGAGCCAGCCGTGACGGTCCATTTCTGATCAGGTCAGATCAGTGGCGCCTCTGTGGGAATCTAGCTTCCCCGTCTAACAAACAACTTAAAAGACCAAAGCTCAAAATCCAACTACCTGTCATGGCTGATCCAGCTCGCGTTGAGCAGAACGTCCGTGTCGCCGACACCAATAACGGCACGACGAATAAAAACGGACACCTCGATAACCCCGGCGACCCCGGCCATAGTACCATTCCTGTGACGACCGCCCCTGGGACTTCCTCCTGCAGGGACGGGGCTACTGCATCATCTTCCCCGCTCCCACCACCACTTGAAGACGACCCGACGGCCCTCGCTCATTACAGAGCTGCCCGGTTCCATGAAGTCCCAGTTCCCGCCGGGGCAGATGCCACGACTCAGGCACTGTTCGCGGCCATTAATCAGACAAACTATCTCATCTTCGCCCAAGGAGAAAGACTAAGGGCGTTTGAAGATGACCGAAGACCCCCGAGGAGGCATCGGAGGCCACACTCTCCACCTCCTCGGGTCACAGAAGTTCGACACCCTTCTCCCCCGCGGAGACACTACAGGGAGAACTCCAGAAGCCCCTCTCCCCGGCCAAAGCAAAGGCGCCCCTATTTGGAGAGACAACCCGCCATCCCTGCCGGAGAACCCAGTCGCGACCCGGCAAGGCACGACAAGAGACACGCCGGGGACGGACGTGTGACATTCAACCACCGAGCATCACGCTCGAGGGAAACTCAGCACGACCACCGTGCCAGACAATACTACAGGTCCCCATCTCTGTCTCCGGAGAGGAGCGACGAGGACGACCCCCGCGGTCCCCTGTCGCAGGCCATCATGGATGCACCCATCCCCCCGAGCATGGAGAAGCCCCCACATCTGAAGGAGTATGACGGAATTGCGGACCCGGTCGACCACATTGACGGGTTCGAAGCCATGCTCCATTATCATAATGTCGGGGGGCCCATCAAGTGCCGTCTTTTTCCCACTACTCTCAGGAAGGCGGCCATGGACTGGTATAAAGGACTCGCCCCGGGCTCAATCACGTCGTGGCGGAACCTGAAGAACCAGTTCATCAGTTCCTTCACAGCTTCTCGGCGCCATCCGAAGACCGAGGCGGCCCTCGAGGCCATCATCCAAAGACAGGATGAAACTTTGAGGGAGTTCATCAACTGCTTCAACCGAGAAGCAATACAGGTCCCCTGCGCGGACCATATGAAAAGATACTTGCTGGAGAGGGGTCTCCTCCCCGGCATAGAATTCAGAAAGGCTGTGGGTATCGAGCCATCTCCGACATTTGATGCCCTCCTCGATAAGGCCCGAGCATATATGGACTACGAGGAGAGGGAGGCGGCCAATAGAGCCCGAGACTCTAGGGCTCGGGGTCCCAACAACAGCAGCAGTTCACGGCAAGAGGCTCCTCCCCGACGTACCGGGGAGAAAAGGAAAGAAGATCGACCCCGGGAAGTCTGGGAACAAAGGGGCCCCTCGGGCCGTTTCACCGAGTACACTCCGCTCACAGCTTCCCGCGAGCGTATTTTGGCAGAGTGTGCCAGTACAGATTTCAAGGACGGTGGCGTCAAGCGTCCCCGACCTGCTCCCGCCAAGCCAGGGGCGGATAAAAATAAATACTGTCAATACCATAGGAGTCATGGTCATTTGACAGAGGACTGCGTCCACCTCAAGGACGCCATTGAAACCCTCATCAAGGGAGGGAGGCTCGCGCAGTACAGGCGAAACGACGCTCCTCGTCGT